CACATGGTGGAGGCTACCTGGCTGAGACTGGCGAGGGAAACATCGGCCGAGCTGCAGGCACCGTTGGTCGGGAGCCGCGTTTGGTTGTTCTTGTTGAAGACGGCGAAGGGGGCGTGTTCTAATTCATTGGCCAGGTTTTCTCCTCGGGGGTTGGCCGCCAAGTTAGAACATCACACGCCGTGGTGGACGTTGAAGTCACCGAGTTTATCTGGACTTATATCGAGTACCTGTTCTGCCAGTATTATAAATTATTAGGTATCCTCCTCGTCACTTGACCGTTTCTGATTGTTTCTGAATCGAGTACATGCATTGCAAACTGTTCTTCTGCTCGTCTAAAGAACCCATTTTTACCTGAAAAGTATTCTACTGGTATCTCTAGCGTTCACTTTATTGTTTTCTGCGAACACTTAAGCACGTAAAAAAGCAGTCCAGTCCTTTTTCATTTCATGTTTTTGTCTCGCTTTACAGCCCTGCGCGCGCATACCTGTGAGTTCTGTGGCAGGAAATTTGTGAAGAAGTGGCGGCTAAACGAACACGTCAATGGTGTTCACAAAAGTACGTGCCCTTTTCCAGTTGCTCCTGGCTGTTTCTCATGTCATCTGCTAATGTCTTGACTGCCTGTACTACGCTGTTTGTGCATATTTCCTTTAGGGTTATTGCTTCGTGTTACTTGCCTCCTCTGACGCTGTATCTGGTAGTACCGCGTATGTCAAACGTCAATGATAACTACATTCATTGTGTAGTACGGCACTTAACGATGGAGTCGGCCAAGTATCGCGTGATTCTAGAGAAGAGAACCACGCACGTTCAACCGTGCCATACGGATGCAGGCCGGAGCCAGTTCTAAGGAACGTGTGTGGTCGGTGCCCATTTCGGACATGTCGTCATTGTAGCCTACGTTGACCTGATATTGCACCTCCTGGGTCTTTTCTACTTATAGGTCCTCTGATCGTACCGAAGGTTTGTAGTTTATAATGACGGGCTTGGCTACCGTTCAGCCAGAGTGAATCCCACCTTGTTTCTCTTGTCGAATGCACGTTTGCATTTGTTTACTGACTGGGTAGTTGTTTACATTGTTTTGCCGAAGATACATGTTAGGTCTTTGAGGGGTCCCTAGAAGGGCTTGATCATCGTTGTTCTGCGCACATACTTATTAGTATACAGTTTGAAGATGACCGCACAGGGCTGCTGATGGTCCCTAGAAGGGTTTAATAATCACTGTTCCGCTCACCTATTTACGAGTATATACTGCACAATTATTTGCTATACTGACGGCACAGCTAAAATCCCAGGCACACGTGTTTCGCCAAAGGCTTAAAAAGGCTTTGCTTCGAACCATTTATTCCAATTTTCGCACAAGGCCTTATATAACTAGAGTTGCTATTGTTGCAGTCAAGGATGCGTGATTTACTGTATGCACAAACAGGGAGATTGTTCCGTCTAATGGAAAAAGGCGATTTATTAGGTACAAAAAGCAACTTGCCGGGGATTGACTATTTGCTGCTGTGTTAACAGTGCAATCGTACGTCGTGATATGAAGGGATTCATCATTGTTCATGTCAGCATGCGGCAGTGCAAAGGTCATTCATCTGAAGATAGCCAAGAACGCTGAGTTTTACGGGCAAAAAGTAGACCAAAACTCAAGCAGGATAATTCGCAAAAACCTTACGGGTACCCCGAGCCGCAAATCGCTCAGAAATCTCTACCGGCGACGTTGCGCTTTCTTTATAAGAACGCACAGATTTTGCTTCAGAAGAGTGATGAGCTTAAAGTTTGTGTAGCTGACCTACGGCCGCATATCATATCCATTACAGAGACCTGGCTACAGGCCGACGTTATGGGTGCCGAGATTGTACCCGAGGATTACCAAGATTTTCGTCGGGACCGGTCACTTAGGAGGGGAGGAGGAATAACAGTGTTTGTCAAGAAGGGAGTCATTGCGTCAAAACGCAAAATTAGTTGCTTCCATGATTGTGAAGCACTATGGCAGATGCCTGGGGAGGGCCGAGAAAGAGAGCGAGTAAGGCTGGCCTAATGGGTTTGCCAGGCCACGCACAGTCCCTTAGTGTGTTGTTTTTTTAAATTTATTTCAGACCTGCGGAACTTCCCGTGCAATATTTGTGGCCATTCGTTCAAAGAGAGGGGAACTGTGAGGAAGCACGTCAACGCTGTGCACAAAAGTACGCCTCTTCTTGTTTGTTTCATCGAGTTTGTCTTCGTTTATTTGCCTGCTCTGTGTTTGCCAATTTTCTTGTGACACGCAATTGACTGGTGTATGTGGAGAGCAGAGAACGAGAGCAAATGTGGCTGACGCTGGGAAATTCATCCTCATGGCAAATTAGCGCATTTCTCATTGCAAAAAATCTGTCGCATTTGAATCTACCACGGGGTTTGACGAAGTATCCCCGCCCCTATTATGATTTGGGATTCAGGCTCAGTGAGCCGCTGTTGGAAGTCCTAAGATGGATTTTGGATGGAAAAGTAACATTAAGAGTGACGTTTATACGCGCTTCTGGAATAGGAATTTCCCGTCCACTAACTATAGCTGGCCTTCCGATGATTTTCAGGAGTGATACATATTCTCTGTTTTAATCCTAACATAAGACTAAGCTGCATTCTCAACCCTACGTTAAACCCATACCCCCAGTTTATAAGAACCCAAAGTTCAAGCCTTGACATAATGCTGATCCCCACCCTGACCCTAACTCCAACCTTGAAAATGTAGCGGCCTAAGTGGTGTTTGTACTCGGATAACTACAATCATCAGGTCGAAGTCCCCAGGTAGAAGGCAAAAGGGAAGAGTCACCAGAAGGAGAGATTTACTGTATACAGAACTCTCAGTTGCAGTCTCAGGTGACACTGGC